TTAATATTATCAGGCCAAAAAAAAAAATCTAGTTTTTCTAAATCATGTTTGATCTGAATTATTTTAGAACAGCTATCCTACACTAATACAGAGAAGTGAGGGATGGTTACCTTTATTGAGAAGGAAGAAAGTTCTGACTGTGATTTTTGGTTTTATAAAGGGTTTGAGATGTTTTAACATAAATACCCTGTAATTTGGAGGAAAAGAGTATAAACTTCCTCACAAATTCTTCCCTTAAATTTCATTACTATTTATTTCGTCCATTATCTGTATCTCCTATTTCATTACATCTTTCTGTCATAGACTTTAACATCTTCATTTTTACTCTCATTTGTATTGTTTTTGTCAGCATATTATCTCAAATTATCTTCCAAAATTCTCCTGATTTAAAAGCAGCATTATTTTGGTGATGGAGTTCAGTTGCTTGCTTGTCTAGTATTCACAAAGCCCTGGGGTTCAACCCATCTAAACTGGGCATGGTACTGCATACCTGCAATCCCAGCACTAGGGAAGTATCTTTCTCAGCCACAAGTTCAAGGCCAGCCTGGGCTACATGAGATCCTATCAATTAAAACACAATAAATAAATGAATGAATAAAAGCATCTTAAACTACACTTTAGCGGTGACATGGATTTATGTTGTCTTTGATGAAAAAATATTTTACTCCTGGAAATTTTATATTTCAATACAAGTTAAGTCATAAGCTTAAATATTCTATTTATTTAGAATCTACCTTCTCAAAGTGTTCACTGGTGTATTCGTTTTATCTTCTTATTGGATACTGCTATACAAAGCACTTCACAATTCATTTTAAAAATTCTAAGCTGGGACAGGGTGTGGTATGCCTTTAATCCCAGAACTGGGGAGACAGAAGCAGGTAGATCTCTATGAGATGGAGGCCAGCCTGGTCTACATAGCAAGCTCCAGGTCAAGTGGGCTACAGGAAGACCCTGTCTTCAAATAAAAGGAAACAAAACAAGAAACCCAAAACAAAAAATTCTAAGCTAGTCATGTTGTCTCATGCCCTGTAATCTTAGCATTCAGGAGGATGAGGCCGAAGCACAGCCATGAGTTCAAGGCAAACCTGAGCTACATAGTGAATCCCCAGCCACCCAGAGAAACAGTGTGAAATGTGAGGGCCTAAAAGAATTCTTTAAATTTTTTAAGAAACCTAAGACTTAAATCTGCCAAAAATCACACTTTCAGAACTACACTATGCAAAGTAAGAACATAAAACAATAACGATCTTTCAGTGGGTCAGAAAAAGTTATCGTTCATGTAGCTTACCCTTTCTTGCAAAGAAAAACTTCTGGTTTCTACTTGGGAAGCAAACAAACTCAACCCTTTTCCTTCAAAGAAGGTAAACCTTGGGGCTGGAGAGAGCGTTCAGCAGTCACAAACACTTGCTGCTCTTCCAAAAGACCCAAGTTTGGTTCCCAGCACCCACATCAGGCAGCTCATAGCCTCCTCTAACTCCATCCAACTTCCTCTTGTAGTCTCTGAGAGCATCCACACACACGGCATACAATCATATAGACACATATATATATAAATAACATTTTTTTTAAAAAAAAACACTATTTTGTGTGAATCATTAGCAGCTAGCACTCACCCAGGTGTAACAAACGTTCAATACTACAATTATAATGTACAAAATGTTTTCCACAATTCTGAAGTTATACATATACTTTTAATAAAAAATTATACAGACAGCCCATTAACTAGTGCTCCAGTAACAAATATAAAATAAAGCACAAATTTATGTTATTCAGAAGCTCATCTCAATGCAAAGTGGGAACAAGCCACAAAAGAATTATATATAAGTAACATTACTTATGATAAGGAGTGTTTGGTTCATCTATTTTCATTAAACCATAATCCTTGTCTGCCGGATGATATGTTGCCAGGATGTTCATTTCATCCCACTTCTGGGATTTTTTACTAAAAGTAAAAAGAAAAAAAATAATTTAGTGTCCATACATTAAAAAACAAAACTTTAGGCATTCAAATCACAATTACGCTATAACATACTTAGTTTTTATTTGGCCTACCAAAATAGTAACAATTAAGAACAAAATCTATACCACTAGCATACACACACACACACACACACACACACACACACACACACACATACACACACACACAAACACACACACCCAGTATTTGTTTTTTGGTTTTTTTTTGGAGACAAGGTCTCACTGATCCAGCCTTGGCTGGTCTGGAGCTCACTATGTAGATCAGGCTGGTCTTGACACACAGAGATCCACCTGCCTCTGCCTCCCAAGTGCTGAGATTAAAGGTGTGTCCTACCATGCCTGGCCTATTATCAGTAATTGTTCAACTAAAAAGCTTAACAGGGAGTCAGGTAGAGGCAGGAGGACCATGGGTGTGAGGTCCACCTAGGCTACATAGTCAGACCCTGTCATAAACACCCATAACAGTGCTATTTCCTTGCCATATTTTTTTCAAGAATATTCACAAGAATCCGAACATAACGAATGTTAACTACTACTGCTGGGCATGGTGGTGCACGCCTTTGATCAGGAGGCAGAGGCAGTTGGATCTCTGAGTTCCAGACCAGCCTGCTCTACAGAGTGAGTTCCAGGCCATCTGGGGTTACAGGAAGACCCTGTCCCAAAAGTACACACACAAGAAAAGTTAACTACTGAGCCATCTCTCCAGCCCCCTGTTCTCATTGGCTCAATGGTGAAGAACAGCAAATTCTTCCAGAGGACCCATGTTTGATTCCTAGCATCCAATAACATTTTATTATTTGCTCATTTAAAAAGACCTCAAATACTCTACCACCAATATATTTTGTTAGCTTGTGACTTTCAGAAAGTGGTGATGTTTTACTGAAATGTCCTTAAAAAGTGTCATACTAAATCCTAGTATCACATTCTAGATTTTTTTTCTACACTCTCCAAGAGTCTGAAGGGTCCCCTTTAAAATTATACATGTCCACACCTAGGGGGTGAGTCTCTTATTTTTCTAGCTTTCAGATTTTTATTGTGTTAAAAAGGACAAAAAAAATCATTAATCACTTTTAAGTGTGTAATTCACACTATTGGGCAATTGTTCCTACCATCCATTTTCAGAACTTTTTCATTTTCCATGCACAACTCTATACCTCCTTTCTTCACATAATGAAATTATACAGTATTTGTCCTCTTGTATCTGGCTTATATCACTTAAGACATCTTAAAGGTTTGTCCATGTTGTAACATGTGTCAGAATTTCTTTTTCTAAGGCCAATCAACATTCCAGCAAACTAAGCACTTTGACACTGTAACCTTTCAAGTCTTACCCTTTATATTCTCAATAGGCAAAAGTTGGCCCATACTCCATGGGTCAACTTCAGACTACAATTCACAAAGTCAGAAACCGCTGATAGTCTCTTTACCCAAGAAATAGTCAAAATCTTAAAAGCTTATAAGAAACTAAAATTTGTGACATATGGGCCATTATTTTTACGCACAGAAACACATTTCAAATGCTTTATTAAGCATCTAGCTCATATGGAAGTTCACCTGAATTATGGGTTAATCAAATTAAAATAACATTAATACCCCCCACGTTAGTTGAGTCAGACTGGATAAACAGACCTTGCTTGAACAGATAAGCAGGCATCATATCACAGTAATAATGGTCTCAGAGCAGAAAAAAGAAAAGGAACAAAAATGAGGAAAATGTTCAAGGTTTAATTTTCAGTTCTCCTGCATTAGTCCTATGCTGATAGAACAAGTCCAGCAAACATCCTCTCCTTAATAATAGTCCTTGTGACTTGGAGTTGCTGAGAGTATCAACTGAAATGATGCTTGTGAAACCAAATTACAAAAATACCATGCAAATATAAAGGGTAGCTGTGATTTTAAAAGACTAAAACTTTAAAAATATCTAAAATTTTGAAACATTTGCTAGATGTGGTCATGTATGCCTCTAGTTCCAGCTCCTGAGAAGCAGAGGCAGAGGCAGACAGATCTCAAGTTGGAGGCCAGCCTGGTCTACGGAGCAAGTTCTAGGCCAGTCAGGGTTACATAGTGAGACCCTGTCTCAAAAAAAAACCCCAAAATAGAAATATTTAAGCTCTGATATAGAAAAAGTGTTTTACTTATTTTTTAAAATGCCACTTACTATTATTATTATGCGTGTGTGTGTGTAAAATGGGGGCTCAGGTGTGGAGATTAGAGAACAACTTGAAGGAGTTGGTTCTCTCCTCCCACCTTTATGTGGGTTCAGGGGAAGGAATTCAGCTTGTCAGGCTTGCACGACAAACACTTTTACCTGATGAGCCATCTCTCCAGCCCAAGAATGAGCATTTTAAAAAAGCAATTCATTTTCTTTTTCTGGATAAATGTACAGTTTCAGAAATTTTATTTTGCTCAATAGTTCTACCACCTATAAATTTCTCTAAGCTTAGAAAGCAAATAATTTGATCTGCTCAAAGCTATATTCTAGGGAAGCTCTGAGTGAAAAGAAATACACCTCTAAAGGTTTAGGGCATGGGGCTAGACATGGCTTAGTAGTTAAGAGCACGGGCTGTTCTTGCAGAGGACCAAGGTCCTATGGCCAGCACCGACATGGTAGTTAACAACTGTCCATAGCGCCAGTTCCAGGGCATCCAACACCCTCTCTGATCTCCGTGGGCATTCCATAACAGAGGCGCACTTAAAACACATGCATGCAATACACTCATACACAGAAAAATAATTTTAAAAAAGATTTAAGGCAGAAAAATGATCAAGTAGCTTCTGATTCATAATAAAGGTTAGAAAAAACAGATGCAATTTTTGGGGGGTTTTCTTTTTGAGACAGGGTCTCACTGTGTAGCTCTGGTTAGTCTGGAACTCACTAGGCTGGCCTTGAATTCACAGAGATTTGTCTGCTTCTACCTCCTGAATGCTGGGATTAAAGGTGTGTGCCATCACACCTGGCAGATCCAAGTTTTAAGACCAAACTCCAGGGATCCTGCTAGCACTAGGACTACAGGCCCATACCACTATGCCAGCTTTTTACATGAGTGCTGGGGATCCCAACTCAGTTCCTCATGCTTGTAAAATAAACACCTCGCCTGCTGCGCCATCTCCCCAACCTCTCCTACAATACTTTAAGCTTTAAATATACATTTAATACATTTCCTGAATGTGAACTACAATTAATTTTTAAAGGAATGTATTGAAGCCAGGCGTGGTGGCACACACCTTTAATCCCAGCACTTGTGAGGCAGAGGCAGGCGGATCTCTGTGAGTTCAAGGCCAGCCTGGTCTACATAGTTCCAAGACAGCTGAGGCTACCAGGAGACTCTGTCTCAAAAAGAACGAAAAAAAAAAAAAAAAAAAAAAAAAAAAACAAAAAAAAAAAAAAAAAAAAAAAAAAAAAGAAATGTATTGACTGTTGGGTGCGTCCTAATTTCAGAACAAGTTATTCCTTAATGATGTTAATATTAAACTAAATATAAAATCGTCTTGCATGGATAGAAAAAGAATGAAGAGACTGGGGAGATGGTTCAGTAGTCCCAGAAACCTAACAACCTGAACTAAATCCCCCAGAACCCATGTAAGAAGCAGAATGTAGTGGCACACAACTATAATCCTAGCACTCCTACAAGATGGGAGACCGAGACAGGAGAAGCCCCTAAAAGCTCTCAAGCCTGGTAGTCAGCCTGCAGAAACAAGAAAAGCCACCATGTAAACAAGGTGGAAGACAAGAACCAAGTCCTGAAAATTGTCCTCTGACCTCCACATGCACCTGAGGTTTTGTTCCCAGCTCCCCTCACTTCTCTCCCCCCACGCCCCCCTCTCTCTCTCACACACACAAATTTTTCTTAAAGAAAAACAATGAAGATGAACATTTGGAGTTTAAAGGGTGTATCTAATGTGGGAGAAGAGGTATCAAGAACCTGCAAATTTGTTTTGTAAGATAATGACAGAAGGAAATATATAGATAAGATAGGTATCTATATATATGTTTATATATATACAGACATCTATATATATGTTTATACACACACACACACACACACATGTATATATGGCACAAGTAGAAATTACATTTTCTTAAAATTAACAATAAAATTTAGGCCAGGAGTGGTGGCACACGCTTTTAGTCCCCAGTACTCAGGGGGCAGCTGGGGCTATACAGGGAGACCCTGTCTCCAAAAAAAATGATAAATAAAATAAAAATTTGTAATTACAATCCCAGCACCCTAAGTCATTAATAACTTTGATTCGGGGGGGGGGGCTGGATGGATAGCTCAGCAGTTAAGAGCACTGGCTGTTCTTATAAAGGAGTGGGTTTGATTCCCAGCACCCACACAACCGCTAACAACTGTGAATCTGATGCCCTCTTCTGACTTCTTCAAGCACTGTACAACATGGGTACACTTGCATATGTGCAGGCAATACACTCATATACATAAAAATAATAAAATACTTAAAAAAATTAAAAAATACTTTTGATCTCTGTATATTGTTTTCACTGTACATGCAGTAAATGATACATAAATGTATATATCAAGAGTAGAGATTATATATATTTAAAATATACACTGATATGTAAGCTATATGCACTGTATCATAAGCTATTTTTATTTTAGTTTTTGCCTTTTTAATGACTGAATAATCAACATAAGTATACATTAGCTAATGTTAGGTATTTAGATATAATCTAATACTTTTCTATTTAAAGCAAGGCAGAATTGGACATATTTGCACATATTCTATTTGATGATTTTAGGGTAACTTGTGAGGACAGGTTTATTTTGTTGTTGCTTTTTGTTTTAGGTATATTCTTGCTATGTTGCCCACACTGATCTTAAACTTGCAGATTCTTCTAATATCTTCTAATATCAGCCTCCCAAATAGCTGGGATTATGGGTGTGTGCCACTGCACCTGGCATCCTATACAATTTTTCTTTTTTTTAAAAGAAGACTACTTGT